GTGGAACCACCTCTTAATTGATGGTGTTCCCAGGTCCACCCTGACCCGGGGTGGTAGCACCTGTTAAGGTCCCAGCTATGAGAAAATAGTTGATACTCCCCGAAAAAAAAAAAAAAAAAAAAACTGGGGTCAAAACATTATGAAAGTGTAAAAATATGTTTTAATATCAGCAATACATTTTTGTAAAAAATTACCAGCAATACATATTTGAAGAAAAAAATATTACCAGCAATAGATTTTTGTGAAAAAAAGATTAGCAGCAATAGATTTTTGAAGAAAATATTGCCAACAATAAAATCTTGTCGGCATTAAATAACCTATTGAGGTTGATATGCCATAAAACAAACCAAGCCAGGTAGATTCGATTTAAGTCAGTTTCGTTGGTATATTTAGTTAACGCTTTAACGACGAAAGACATTCATGTTTAATTATACATCGACATTCATTAGCACATTACAATTGTCGCAATAGTTTTTGAATTTCTTGAACCAAATAATGTAGTCCTTAAGTTGACGTATTCATCTTTTAAGCCATTTTGTCTTGTATTGCGAGAAAACGGTATGGCATCGAAATATTGAATAATGACTATCATGCCCTAAATCAGATAATTCTTACGTTTTACTTCACTGCTGAAATTCATTTTCGATTTAATTTTGTTAAAATATTTTTACGTCTGTCATTAAATTAAAATATACGTACACATCTTGATTTACATTAAATTGGGCATCTGTATTGCCATATCTATCCTCAGTGAAGCAAGAAAAGAGTATAAACCGAAATATGACCTTTGATATTAGTGTTATATGTCCTTCAGTATTTTAACGAAATATATATTTTCTAATATAAGTTTTGTCTGTACATTTAAAATAGTATTGAAATGAAACTTCATCTTGTCAACGAAGCGAGGTGGTACCGATCTAGTAGTATATAACATTTTAAGCAGTGTAAAATAAACACTTATTTTAAGCATTTTTACAATATTTATTACGATTACACAACAGTAATATGAACTCTTGATTTTTGACTAATTTTGGATAGAAATGTTTTGCACACGAAGAGAAAATATAAAGGTATTTGATCTAAACGAGGCGAAGAATGTTTGACAAATGAGAATTCGACATTGGACCACGGTGTTACTATAACTGCTTAAAAACTGAGAATACACTCTTCAGCAGTACGAGAAATTAATACACATACCTTCGGTTTTACGAGGTTAAAATCTGTTGAAAAGGATCACTTTAACCTGACATAACGTTCTTCGCATCTTCCCTTCAGATACATCAAAATAAGACAGGAAGCTGAGTACATATTCAAATACGAGCGAAAACGACAGTTAATGAAACTAAAATTCGTTAGTTGAAGAAATTTGCCGCAACAAATTAATTTGTTAAAAGCAGCAAAGACAATAGACAGAAAAACATGAAGTTTTCTCTTAAAATTTCCCCAAAGCTTAGTTATATAAACACACTGACCTGACTTGTATATCAAGGTAGACACTATTTAACCGAGTAAATTGGATACAATATGTCCTCCGTCAACCACACTATGGTAGCGTGACAATTTAAACAAAGGTAAGCGACAATGGTAAGTGAATTGTTCTAATATAAAAATAGGTAAAACATGAATATAAAATCATTAAAAATACGATACACTAAGTTGGTTTATTGCCCTCTCTTCAAAGGAGAATATGAAATTCATGGGAAAACGTCAAGTAAATAAGTAATTATTAGAAAAAAAAAAATTGTAGATAAATGTAAGTTGCCGTTTTTTATTACACTTTTTCAGACAATTAAAAAAAGCTAAAGTTAGTCAGGTTAAAAAGGTCAACGGCTTGGATTTAATTCTTAATTTAAAAATATAGACACCTTTAGCTTTTCAAACCAAATCATGAGAGTGACTTCCAGCGACGCAAATTTTAAAATTTGCGACCGCTTCTGGAGCCTATTTCGGGACTATATAAGCATAAAATATCAGAAGGTATAAAAGATATCAAAACAGTAGTTACATTTCAGAATATCTAAGAAGAAAACGCAGAAGTGAAGAGCATATCTGACGGAATTCAAGTTTGACTGTCACCAGTTGAGGAGTGAGGTGGTTTCTTACGGAAAAAAAAAAAAACAAAAATCAAAACGAACCAGTGTTTCTGCCAAACTTTCAGTTTTCAATTAAGTATCGTTTTTGAAAGATACAATTTTGAATTTTTTTTTTTTTTTTAAGAGGTTGTATTGAACCTGCAAAATCTTTCGATCATTGAAAGTTTGCTGAATGTTTTTATGAACTATATTTCTGTTCAGTGAATTAGTTATCTTACCTTGAATAAGGTGCACAAAAGTTTGTGCAATGCAATAAGTGTTTGTTCCTTTCGAATTTAACATTTGAGTTCTGTTCTTTTTCGTCCTATTAAATATTCAGGATTTAAGAGAAAGTTCTCTTCTCCCACACTCTACCCAGTATATATATATATATATCACACAAATGTCAGACTAATTGGGCGAAGTCTTCATTATTGGTTAATAGTGTTAAAGCAATTTTAACCTGATTGTCATGAAGTATATATTCTGTGATTAGTTAAATTGAGCAGAAAGGCTTACTCAGCAGACTGTAAATGCCAAATGTGTGCATAATGTAATTACCTTTTTTATATTTTATTTATGTTTCAAAGACTCATTTATGTCAGTTTGATGTTTTGCTACGCAAAGAACAATGGAAGATCACAATACAAGTGTCAGAATTTCGTTATTTGAACTAAAAATAAAAAAAAATAGCTCAAACTTTTAACAGGTCTTAACATCGAAGAATCAGTATAAACAAGATGTATTCGGAGGGTTTTAGAAGACCGTCTACAATTTTATCGGTAGGCGTAATGTTAATGTAAGATACGCAGATGACACTATCGTGATGGTTTACGATTGGGGGGGGGCAACAGGATCTCTTAGACAGGGCAGTAAGAGGAAAAAAGGAACTAGTCCTCAACTGCAATAAGATTGCAAGTATGGTCATCATGAAAAAAATGCGAGTTATAAATTACAGATCTCAACATCAAGCAGGTGCACACGTTTAAATATTTGGGAAGTTGTTGAACAGAAAATAGAAAATTCAACACCAAAATCTAAAACACGCATTTGACTTGCCAAAATGTTTGTGCTTATGTAAAAAAAAAAAAAAAAAAGTGTCTCCTGGTACTATCTTTCCCGTAACAATTATTGCGGACTCGAATGCGAGTCCAAGTGATAAACAAGTTAAACAAAATATATAAAACAAACGACAAAGCATGTATTTAACAAAAGTATTCCAATGTGTGTAAATTTCGTGTAAGCCTACGTGATTGACACGCGTGTGAAAGAGTAGAAGTCACGAGAGAAAAGTAAAACCTTGAATGTGAACGTGCTCCAGTGGGGGACACTTTTCTCGCCCCCACGTGAGACTATATATCTTATAGCCAGTGTAGAATTCGATTTCTACTTTGTCCGTTTTAAATCTATTAAAAGAGGATCACGGCTAAGTATTCCCAGTTTGTGCTGAACCCATGAAAATCGGTTCCAGAGTTCAGTACGAAACAATGCTTTCTAATTGACCCATAAATAATGTTTCTGCCTCCGCCCGCACGGTTGACAGAGTTCAATGCGCCAAAAAAATGTAAACGTTCTCAAGCCCCCACGTGATCAAACTCAAATATAATCAACTCGTCACACGAATCCATGAAACCCAACTTCCTCGCTAAAAGTTAATTTTTATTAATATCTACCCGGCTTGTGGAATTCAATTTCTTTTCTACACCAACTCGTCTAGTGACGAATTTAACCAAGACAAGATTCAGAAACCAACTCAATATCTTAACTATCAGTCGAAGTGAGACACCTCTACAGTAAGTGAAGCAATCTATTTCATTCAATTTCACTATCAACATAAAATGTTTGATTCCTTAGCAGATATACAGTATAACACCTTTTATATTACCCTTGATCACACATCCAAGAAATCTAAAGCATTGTAAACAACTTTATTATATCGCGTTTACTTGTGGTTATATAAAAATATTTTCTGTTAAAACAAATCTCTGCCTGTTTGATTATTTCTCTTGTTGTCTTTGTTGCATTTGATTTAGTAAAAATACTAGAAGGTCAGTTTAATGTGTATTTGTCACAGAGACAGATTGGCCAATCCACTACATCAGAATCGTAAAAGAGGAAAGAGAATGACTGAGAATATCATTTCCTATTTATAGGCTTAAGGAGCGTCCTCTAGCGATTTTTTTTTAAATATTTTAAAAGTGGGATAACCCACAGACGAGCGAGAGAAGCATTCCAAAATCTAAGCATGGTGCTTAGAAACAAATTTAGTTAGAAACAAAGAAAATAGTTCTGGATTGCTATCTTATATCCATCCTTTTAAATGGCAGTGAACGCTGAACAGTCCTTATATATGGTTCTACAAAAAAATGCTGAAAATTCATTAGACTTTAGCGAGTAAGCAATTGGGAAAAGATGGAATTTCTTGGCCATATAATGTGGAAAGAGCGTTTAAAAAACCCTTATGAGGCATATAGAGAGAAAGAGAGATATGGAAGACTGCAAACCACTTGACAAGCTTGTGTGAATGGGTGGCGAAACGGGATTGGGAGCTATAAAAAAAAAAAAAAAAAAAAAAAAAAAAAAAAAAAAATGCTAAAGACTATAAGGGGTACGGTGTTGTAAAGTCGATAATCGCTGAGGTCCTGAAGGAACTCGGCACATAAAAGAAGAATGGCACTATTAATGGCAGATATAAAAGCAAAGTGAATAAAACAAATAAAAACCGGCCTGTCTTAAATTTATTGGTCCGCTCGTAATATATATTTAAAAAAAAAAAAAAAAAAAAAAAAGTTAAAATTTTAGTAGGAAGACCTTCAAGACGCGGGATTTGACATAAAAGAAAAAGGGTGTTAGTTTGTTCATATTATAAATACATTGTCAAATCGATCCCCGACTTAAAAGTTATGTTCGTTTTTATTTACAAGTTTTACGGTCATATATAGATAAAACACCGGTTCCTGTACGAAAATCGAAGTTAAGCAACGTAGGGCTTGGTCAGTACATGGATGGATGACCGCTTACGAATATCAGCTGTTGTAGCTTTGAATGTGAGGCTGGTGTAATGGAATTCTTAATCCGACAGCGGAGTTCCAATTCCGTTATCTTCACTTATGCGCAAATACCCTTGGGAAAGGTATGATGAAACCACCTCTTCCGTCCCCAGCTATGGAGTAATTAGTAAAATTTATCTTTCCACGAAATCTAAATTATTTTCTGGTTTTAAATAACCTGCGGTTGATAAGCCGTAGAAAATGAATCAATTTTACTGACAAATGTCAAGTTTGAAAATGTGTTTACTTCCTTGATTACGGCGTACTATTGTGACTGACGAAAAAGAACATCAGTCGTACACAACTATCAATGAAGCATAATTAGATAATCGATTTGACACTATTATATTATGATCTGAACCCCTTCTAAAAGAAAAAAAACAAAAACAAAACTTTAGATTGTGATAAATGACGAAGCTTCAGGGTTGTCTAATGATTGCTAATCTACCAAAAATATTCGCCGCGAAATGTTTCCTGTGTTTATCCAGAGAACTTAACTATACGTGTCTAAAATCTTTTCCAGCAACGGTTGTTCATTCTGGTGAACAAGAACAACTAGTAAGCGTTTAACAGGTCAAATCACAGAATTAATTTTTAATATGGTCTTCAACCTCAATTTTTTTTTTTAAGAGCGAAAGTCAATATTGGCAATCCTGGCCTGCTTGTTACACTTTAATACAATGTGCTCAGATTGAAGGGTGGCATCTCTCTCAGCTAATACCTCTTCTAATGTCATGATTTTGCCCCTGAAGTCTCGCCAAAAGCTTAAACTCAGAGACTGACAATTTCGCTGAGATACTCTACAAATCTCATTTGAGCGTCGTAAAGAATTTGGATTCGCGAATCGCTACAATGACGCACAATTTAAACGAGAGGAAAAAATAATAGACTGGCAATTCGATTCAAAAAACAACCTACGATTAGGAGTGGAGGCGATGAAAAACGGTTTGGTTACAACAATGTGGATAGAAAAGTCTCTTGGAAAACGGAAAGCTAGTTTTCATCCGAAGGTGATGATGCTATATATCCGGTTGGATTGGAAGGGCATCGAGTGTTTTGAACTCCTTCTGCACAATCAGAATGTGAATGTAGACAAGTAATCTTTATAGTTGGACTGATTAGAGACAGCAATCGCTGAAACACATCCAGAATTAGCCAACTGAAAGGTTTTTTTTCATCAGGACAACCCAAGACTTCGCGTCTCTTTTCCGATCCGGTAGCTTGACTGGAAAGGCCTACTACACATACAGTAATCATTACAACTTATTTCGACCACTACAAAATTCTCTTAAATAGGAAGAACTTCAATGCCCTGGAAACCTGATAAAATCACCTACACCAGTTTATCAACCAGAAAGATGAAAGATGACAGATTCTGGGATGAACTCATGAAGGTATCTTAAAAATGGCAAAATACAGTAGAATAAAATGGAATATCCACTTTGACATTTTTAGCAAGCCATTTCTTAGATCTAATGTGTGCTTAGGATCATTATCTTGTTGGAAGGTCCAGTCAAGAGGAAGTTCAAGATTTTCAGCAGAAATCATTAAATTTGCTTCCAAAAAATTTGGATCACTGTGGCATTCATTCTACCATCTATTACTGATACGTTGCCTTTTTTGCAGGAAAGCATCCCCAACCCATGATGCTGCTACCACAAAATCTCAATGTTCTTTTGTAAATGTCCTAAAATTGCCAAGTCAGTTCCCAGATTTAAACCCAATCGAGAATGTGTTTCATTATTTGAAAATTCAAATCCAATCGAGAGCTCAAAAAACACCTCAGATCTGAAGACCACATGCGAAGAAGAATGGAACAAAAATAGCAACTCTAATTTGAAAATCATTAATTGATAACTACAAGAAGTTGCTTGCTGTAGAAATGAATAATGGCTATTCTACAAAGAATTGAATGAAGATTATGTATTCTTTTTTGTATTGTACGGATACTTTTTCACCCAATAAAATGGATAAATGGAATTTATTTCTATTACATCATTTTTTTGTTTTGTATGCATATTTAGTTATGCATTTGTGTACAGTTAATTATATGAAAAATATGTTTATTCATTAGTTGGAAATGCGATAACTTAAAAAAAATATGTATGAATATTTCTTCCCTCCCCTCACTGTATAAGAGTCACTTCATGTGTCTTTGGAAATTTAGTCACGGTAGAACTTTTAATTCAGGCATTGACTGAGCATGAAGTAAGTTTTTACACTTTGCCGATGACAAATGGAAGTAAGCGTAAATTATGAGAAAAATGCATGATAGATAAGGATTGACCATAGAATTGAAGATATTGAGATTGTAATGTCTGGGATGCACTTCTGAGGAATGAGATTAGTAATTTCCTCCTTATCAATAGAATATGAAGGAAATAAAAATGATTTGACCCAGTGTATGCAGAATAGAGGATCCCAGCTGTTAAGGTCTGAATTGGTGAAACTAAAGAATGTACCTCGTTTGAGACATTTCTTAGGACATCGATAAGTTAGAATTACGCACAATGAAGTATACAGTCCACATATATATATAATATAATATAATATAATATATATATAATATATAATATATATAATATATATATATATATATATATATATATAATATAATATATATATATAATATAATATATAATATATGATCGCAAGAATATGATATATATAAAATAGAGATAGAGACGAAGTGGAATAGACAAGCATATGTGATGAAATCCACCAACAGACAATAAGGAATCAGATAGCATATTAACAGCATACAATAGGTCTAATTACATTACTTAAAGATAGTTACGGACAAAATATTCAGTCCATAGGAAAAATCCTCATCACTGATACAAGCAGATCAGATATTTTGAACTGCACATTTATTGACACTTTGAAATAAAACTATACCGTACTATTAAAAAAAAAAAATAGCAAGTCAATTCAAATGGCTGAAAAATGAATTCTTATATTGACAAACGATTCTAGTGCATAGGATTCTGTCTTGACCCGAAAAACTTAAAGCGATGAAAAGGTACTATTAGAGTTCCAGCTCTGACTAAAATAACGCATAAACAGGCAAGGACAAAATATTTCAGCAAGCATGATGCTAAAAATACATTATAGGAGGAGAATGAGTTGTTAGTTTTATAAATGGCCCACTCAGTAGCTACTGAAAATGTCAGTCGGATTTGTAATGATTTGTTGTGTAGTCTAGCAAAAAAATAGGCTAGTGAAATATCCTAATGCCATCAGTGGAGTTATGGATATCTGCTCGGATTGCGGAATCGAGAGCAGAGTTCGAATTCCAGTCGAATCCATAATGTTTACTTACGTGCTAATACCCTTATTCCTCTTCTCCCCCAGCTATGGGTAAATAGCAGAACAGACCGGTTTCTATAGCCTTTGATGGCAACTGGTTTACTGCAGAAAGAAATGATAAACTACTGCGAGAAAAAAACTGCCTCATCAGTCATGTATCAAAAGATACATGATCGCCTAAGCGTGTATCACGCACAGCACGTAACTTACTGATCATGAATTACACAGTAGCGTTGGAAAAAAGTTGAAACACGAACGTACATTGCATAATTTGATGAGAGTCTTAGGATAATGGCCTTGTGTTCACCATCACAAAATGCAAATATTAAAATCAAAGCAAGTAACTTTGGTGGAATATTCGATGCAACTGGAGTATATCCGAATCTCCAAGAAGCAGAGGACAATGTAACTAATAAGATTCCTATCAATTACCGCCCAATATTACTACCAGCATTTGCGAGCTTCTAAGTGAAGACAGCTTGTCTGAATTAACAACCATAACAAGGCCTTCCAGGAAATCAAAGTATGTATTAGTAAATAAATAAACAGTCGCAGTTCAACCATCATTCAAGCGGAGGTTTCCGGCAGGGGGGACCGGAAGTGGCAAGAATACAATATGGTTAAATAATTGCGTTCACGTCAATTATAATTAACAGCAGTCGAGCAGAGATACGCCAATACGGAACGCGAGATGCTAGCAGTATCCTTTTGGGTCCAGAGATTCTAGAATAGGTTTGAGGGAAGCCATTTTTCACACAGCCCGTCCATAAACACTTGGAAATAAACATCCAGAACAATCTCTCAGCAGTCCTACGTGTTATAGACAAGCGTATGGTTGCAAGAAAGAAATACGACAACAGCAGAAATAAATTTACGTGATTTCAATAGGAACGTGTGGTTTTGGGACAGCTACCTTGTGGTATAGTTCATAGGCTGGCTGACGACCCGGGTTGATCTCTCATAGTTCTCGCTGGTTGGCGTGGCGCTACTGCTGCTGACTGTCCGTAACATGTCTCTTTCCTGGCCTCCTGTTGTCTGCTCTTGTACTTCCCCGTGTGACCCCTTTTATGGCGTTTTTTTTTATGGCTTAACAGGCTCGTAAAACGACGCGAGTATAATTAGAAGGGAAGCATTTTTATTGGTCGAAAAATAGAAACACCGGAACTTGTGCATAAACGACGATAATGGTCATTTTATGACGGGGCCTTGTCCCGTTCACATCCGGCTCTCGCCGAGATATGTCTTATTTTATTTTATAACATACGACAACGGTTCAAACGGACGTTAGAGATACAAGGACATCTCATGATCATTGTTCACCCTGTAAAAAAAAAAAAAAAAATAAAAATTAAAATAAAATAATACTATTGTCTGATGGATTGACAAAGCTACGAAACAAAAGATAATTGCCATCAAGTAAAACTTTACCCTTAGATATGAACTCTAGGTAAGCTAATATTCACTGATTAGCAAGATAAGGCAAAGTGTGGGGTCGATACTTTGCAGTTTATGTTAAACGTTCAAAGTGTGTGTATAGTGGGGAGGGGACTGTCAGGAATACTTCTAGGTAAAAAAAAAAAAAAAAAAAATACTGATGAGGAAGATGAGATTTAAAAAAGTGGCACCAAATTGGCGAAAACTTATTGCAAGAGCCAAAACATACGATATTGAAGTTGTCA